TGAGCAAGCAATTATGAGCAATCTACCTACTCAAAAAGTCTTTGTTCTTTTCCTCCTTCTTTAGATAGTGTTATTTTACCATTGGTTGGTAGAGAGCCATGTCTTTGGATGTGAGGGGCAGGTGTGGGTCATCGTACAGTCATATAAGGCAACTTGTATGATGTTTTAGCAATTGTCGTAAGGGACTAAGATCGTTTACCAAAGGCAACATCGAAGGGTCATCGAGGGACTATGATCTTTTAATCGAGGGTCTTTTGCTAAAGCATCTCACGTTCGAGGGACGAGTGTTTAATCTGAGGCAACAAATGTGGGTTACCCTAAAGGTGCATGTGTGCAAAGTGTGTTTGATTCAATTATTTGTCTTGGATTAGGTTTTTGTAATGTTTGCTTTTAAATCTTGTCATGCAAACCCTAATTACTAACAATAATAAGGAAAGCAATAAATTATGGAATTTAAATATCCTACGCTATTACAACACTTTGGAAATGAGGGGGGGGGGTACAAGTTTGTGAACATGGGAGGAAATCAATAAACCCTAATTATCTATTACAAACCTTTGAATAGTTAATAATGCGGAATAAAATGCGCAAGAATGTAAAGTAGAGGAAATAAATTGTTTTTGGTGATTTTTGATAGAGGAAAAAGTTTGATGGTTAACTAAATGATTGACTTTGTATTTTAAAAGAAATTAGTAAACCTAATTAACTAAGATCAAAATTAATTTCACTAACCAAAACGAGAAATAATTTAAATATAGAAAAAACTAAATCTAGATTAATTTAAAAGGAAAATTAACTATTATAAAATATTTTTTTGAAGTTTTATTTATTTGGGAAATAAATGAAGTAAAAAAAATAAAATGAAATAAAAAAGGATTGAATTAATTTTTTTTAATCTAATTATTTAGAAAAATATATTTTTTGTATTTTTGGTTAAATAAAAATAAATAAATAAATAAATAAAATATATAATATATAAAGAATATGAGAAATATTAGGCCTAGGTGCTGAAAAGTAATTAGGGGTGTGAGAATAGCAAAAAAAGGTTAGGCACAAACATATGTTTTTTGTTTGAATCAGAAAAAAAGAAATGGGCCTGGTTGCTGAAAAGTAAATTGGGGGTGAGAACTAGCAAAAACAAAAAACAAAGAAGAAGACCCAAGCCAGGGAGGCCCAGGCGTCTGTTTTGAGATTCCATGTGACTGGCTTATGATGATGCAGCATGGGCTTGCTCATGTGGAGCGCTTGATTTAATGTCTAGAAGATCTGATGGTGTTGACGCGAGGCTCATGATAGGCGTTAGGATTGGTTGCACTGGATCTTTGAGAAACAAATATGAAAAGAAAAATGTCCCACGCCTGGCTCGAACCCGTGACCAGGCATAAAAATGACTTATACGCGCGCGCTCTGCCACTGGGGTGGCTGTTTCATCTGGTTATTATACAACTTGCACTAAATTTAAAATATACTCATTCTTGATTGCACTTCATCTCCTACCTCGCGCCAGAACCATAACACCATTGTTTTTGAAATTCTGAACTTGCTCATTTCTCAACCATTTTCAAAAGTGTAAACATGAAACTTGCTCCAAATTCCACCATGAATTCAACCATGTAAATAACTTAAGCTATAAATCAAAGATAAACATGAATTTCTGTTGGTACTAAATTAAGACCTAATTTTTTCTGAAACTTCAACCTCAAAATTCTCCACATACAGTTAACATAAATGAAAATTAAAGACATGGTTAGCTTCAGAGCAATGATGTCTAAATTTTTTATTCACAAAGTAACCATTAATGATGCTTGTGTAAGGAGTTCAAAATTGAGAAAACTTACCTTAAAATTGGAAATCGTGTTTGAAGCTGGAGCACTCCTGGAGATGTTTTGATGATCTGGATAGCTTCACTGAACTCCTAGGAAGCTATTACAATGCTTACTTTGAGCTGAAAGTGTCTGAAACTTTCTGGAGAAGGCAAGTTGCAGGTTGCTGATTTTAGAAATGGAGGATGGTGCAAATGGTGTTACATTGATGTAACATGGCCTTGGATATGTTATAAATGAGTTATGGAAGCTTTGTGATTGATTAAAAATGAAAATTCACAAAGGGATTAAATGTTTAAGGTTCAAGGTCAGAATGTGAAACAATGGAGGTTTTGGATGCCAATTCTAATTTCAGAGAGTTTGAGGGGGTTAGAAGGCTATTAAATTTGTGCCCTGACTTGTAAATAACCTCTCTATTTATAGATAAAAGGTTTGAAGGAAGGAGAACATCAGATTTGTAAGTTGTAAAGTTATGGCTAGGTTACTTAATTTTGAAGCAACATTGAAGAACATGGTTCCAATGCTTGTACTATGCCTTCTAGAGTGGTTGAACACTTTAAACATGCTTCTTATGATTTTGTAGGTTAAATGTGTGCAAAAGAAACAATTGATAGGCTCAAGGAGTTGACATTGTGACAAAGCTTGCTTTTCAAGAATGACAATGGTGCCTTTCTTCCAAAAATGGCAAAGTATCTTGGACAATGGCTCAAACACTTGGGTAATGGCTCAATCAGTTGTGTAAATAATTAATTATGGAGTGATTTACAAGTTATAAGCCTGTAAAGCAAGATTATGCAACATGTTTGAAGATTGGATCATAAGGTTCATCACAAAATGACCTAAAATTCAAGTTTGTGATGCCATCTTCTTCTCTTCGAATCTCCTAGCTCAAAAATGATCTCTTCAAGTTCTTGGACATTTTGGAAATCTTGAAAAATTATCTACAACATTCATGTTGACCACTTTGGCTAAATCAACTTGGAATTTGGTGAAAAATTTCCAACAAGTTGGGACTAAAATCTGACAAAACTTGTTAAAAATTTCACTAAGTGTTTTGTTAAAAATGTCATGACTTTATGAGCCTATATCTCCTAATCCAAGCATTTTTTGGACATCAACCCTCAAGGATAAAGTTGTATAATTCATAAAGATCTACAACTTTCATGTTGAAAGTTTTCCTTAAATCATCTTGCATCATAGTGAAAATAGTCATGAAGTAGTGAATTTATCAAGGTAAAAAATACTTAGAATTTTTCTAAGTATTGAAATCTTGACCGCTGTTGACTTTCTTGATTCTTGATGATCAAGTTTAATATTTTTGAATGTATTGATGAATCTTGACCTTTGAAATTCAATGTTGACCAAAAAGTCAAAGTTTGACTTTTGTGTGTCAGTTGACTTTTCATCAATTGATCCAAATTTCAACTATCAATCACTTGGTCTTTGAGGATGTTTTGAACCATGCAATTAGGTAAATATATTGTGTTTGAGTCCTTAAGATCATGCTTCAAGCCATTAGGTCATGTACTAGGTCAAAAGTCAACAATCAATCATTCTTAGTCAAAACCCTAATTTTGACAATTTTGCCCCTTTGGTGATTTGAATGCTTTCCTTGAGGAATTGTGATCAACTCTTAATCAATTGATGAATATGACCTTAAAATGTTGATGTTGGCCAAAAATCTTGAAGTTTGACTGTATATTAATCACAATTGACTTTTTACCCAATACAATTGATTTTTAATCATATGAGCAATTGATTGAGCAAATTTGTGATGCAAGACTTGAAACTTGGCATGGGCATTCTTGGAGGTCTATGATGAACCATGAAAGTAATTTGAGGCATTAAAATTCTAATTTTCCTTGTGAAAACCAAAACCCTGATTTGTGGTCATAGTGCTTAGGAGGTGAGTTTGTCTGATAAACTCTTTGAGAATCCTTGAGCATTTGAGATCTTTTGTGAGAAATGTCTTGAAGAAAAGGGAGAACAAATTTTGGGGTACAACACAAGCATAATAGAAAAATATATTTAATATTTAAACTCAACCTTGACAATATCCGAAAATGTATTTTCTGAAACATTTGCATTCTATTTCGAAGATACATCTCCGGACTCAACATTCATTTCTACAAGCAAAAACCAGATTAATGCAAACAACGTAGAATGAAAGATGCGTTCTTTACCTGAAATGACAATTCCTTTTGCTCATTTTGATGTGATAAAATACAAAAATGTTGTTTTGGAGTGCAAAAGTTAATTGGGAATGGATGCAAGTTTTTTTTAAAAGGATTTTGATGTGTGTATTGTAAACACCATAAAATAGTGATTTCAAAGATGCATCTCCGGAACATATTTTAGCATAAATGGGATGTGTGTATTGAAAAATCTATATAGTGGTGATTCTAGATATACATATCCGAAATATATTTTGGCATAAACGGAGTGCGGCTCTAGAGGAGGCACGAACCGTCCGTTCCGCCTTAAACATACCAAAAAAAGAGACAGGACGGACAAGTCTGCCAAATAAAAGTGAGCTTTAAAATCTAACTTGTCCCGTTAAGATAACGCGTTGGCATGCGACGGACTTGCCCGTCTATTTTTTAATAAACTAACAGACCAAAAATAATATGTGTAGATCACAAAAATTTTCTAGACCAAAAAAATTAACACCATAACTTTTTATTAGGCCATGCATCTTATTTACCATGACTTTTTGCTAGTATCAAAATGTTCTATTAAGAAAATCATGTTTTTTTTGAAAACATGATTAACATGCTGGAATTTGTTACAACCTCAAAATTTGGTGTTAGACCACCATCCAGTAAAAAAAATTGATTGGTACTTTACTCTAATGTAGTGATAGATAAACATAGTAATGAGTATATAATAATATTTTAAAAATCATGATCACGTTGTGTTTAAATTTTCAATTGATCCGAACATATGAAATGAAAAATTATGGTTTTCAATTTATTCACTGTGGTCCCATGGGTGGATAAAGTAATAATACATGTATTTAAATTAGTTTATCTAACAGATTATTTTCGCCAAATTTAAAAAGCCCATTCCAACGGAAGGCCCATTGCACCCCAAAGTTTGGTTAATCCCACGAAAAAAATGAAAACCCTAAACCCTAATTTTCGCTGTTCCAATTCTTCCGATCTGATCTCATCATCAATGGCTTCAGCTTGCAGTAGAATTGCTCAAAGAGCGTCAATCTCATCCATCAAATCAGCTATCAAATCGAACATTCGCTCCTCTTCTATCCCCAAACCATCAGCCACCACTTCTCCTCCGCTTCGCCGATCCTTTTCATCCAGGATCGCACCGGAACTTGGATGCGTGCAGTCGATGTTGCCGCTTCACAGTGCGGTTGCGGTGTCTAGAATGATGTCACGCCTCAGCATAACTTCGAGGAACTGTCAATCGCTTTCTCAGGGTACACTCTGCTGCACCTCTCCCGGCCTCTAATACTTTCTTTTTTCAAAATTATTCATACTCTGTGAGTAGCTTCCTTGCTTCTTACGTTTAACCACTTCTATGAAATTTTCATTGATTTTGCATTTCAATAAGCTTTTCAAGTAACTAAAAAACATTATTGTTTGTTTAGTTTGGTGGTAATTGCATCGGTGTATTATACCTTGTTATGTTTGCGCGACATTCATACTTGTGATGATGCTGTTGTATCTATGTTTGTATGTAGTCTTATTAGTAGTTACATAAAGTAATTGTAGCTAATTTGCAAAAATTAAAAGTATACGAATTTAGACTAAACACTTATATAAACTCTGTTTCGGTATTATTTAGTGATTATTATAACATAAACACATATCGTAGAAGTTTAATGTATAAGCTATTGCGCTTAGTCAGAAGAATGTTGCTCTGTTTTTTGAATTTTCAATTACTTGCATTGTACATGAAGACTGTGAAGCCAATGGAAACTTTGTTGATTGAGAGCATAATCTCAATCGATTGCACTACTTGAGAATATAACAAAATGTGTATAAGATTGTTTTTGACACTGATTGTTTCGTGTGGTCTTGTAGCCTCCTTGGGTTTTTAGAATGAGGGAATTGTTTGGGGCATAGATAGGTTGGTTTTGTGGGGGGAAAAGTAAAACTATTTGGAGTCCATTAGTAGAAAAGTGAAAGACTAAAAGTTCTCTAACAGGGGATTTAGATGTCAACTGACTGTAAAATTTGGTTCCTGCAGGCACATAGTTAATTGGGAGTATGCGGGACCAGCCAATTAAGGCCTACTGCTTCATTACCAAGTACGAAACTATTAGTGTTCTTTAAAGTTTTGATATTTAATTTAGTGATTTCTTCAGCTATATTAGAATGGAGCTTCCCTTTCTGTTATCTTAAGAAAATCTTTTGGTGGCTTCACCAGTTGGAAATTCGGAATAGATTTTCCATAGGACACAGGGTTCTCTTTCTTTTGCTGAAGAAATATAAAGAGGGGGTAAAACAGTAAGGGAAATGAAATTGATGAAGTTAATGTGCGTTAATCCTATTGTTGTTACATGGCGGCCATTGCCACATGGAGTTGCAGTTTTTGCATGCTGCTCTGTGTGGCCATGGTGAAAATAGCTCTGACTACTTTTGCTATCTCTCACCTCATGCTTTTGGCTTCCCTTCCCCCTCTCACTAGTGCATCTTTGATAGATGGCACTTCTCTCTTGGTATATCCTATCTTTGGAAGCTACCTTTCTCTTTCTTTCTCTGTGCTTTTTAAGTTCTGTAATTCCTTACTGCTTGAGTCTCAATTCCTCTCCGTTCTGCATATCTCTCTATTCTCTCTGTCTATCCCTCTCAATTTCTTCTCTCTATTGCTCTGTTTTATAAATAGTGACTTTCTAAGTCTCTGTTTTATGAGCAGAATATCCTATGTTCCTCTCTTTTCAGTCTCTATTCTGTGATTCTGTCCTCTATTTGTTGGTTACTTATTTTTTCTGTAAATTCTGCAATTTGTGTTCTGTTTTGCTTGTGTATTATACATATATTTGTAGTGTTTCTATAATGATTCCATCTTATGATCCACTGCCTTCCATGGTATTGTTATGGCTGATTTTTGGCTTTCCCATCATGAATTCAATTTGCCATTAATGTCTATAGATTCATTGAGATTTTTTTAATCCTATACTCTCTTCTTTTAATATTTATCAAAGAGTCCAAGTAATTTGCTACCTGTCACTATGCTTTGTTCATTGGTTGTGCATTTTATGCATACATTTTGTTCTGCATAATTAGTCTGGCATGATGTTTTGCTAGTGAGTTTGCTGGTTAAATCTTTTTTCTTAAACACTACCTAACCTAAACAAATGGGCGATGATGTAAAATAGTTGAGCTTATAAATACTCAATTTTGTTTGGTGTGGTATTTATGTTTTTTATTTGATAAAATGTATCTTATGGTTAAACTTGAGAAATAAAAAAAAAGTCAAAACTTGAATATATGGTATATAATATTCACCAAAGGTTTCCCTATGTGATATATTATGAAAAACAAAGGAAAAGCTTTGCAGTACTAAGTAGGGAAAATGAAACTAGGAGTGTTGATTTAGAATTTAAATAGATCTGTTACGAGTTACAACAGCCTACTGGACCCTTCAAACTCAATTTATTTCTAAAAACTTACAATATGTTGAATGATTCTTTATAATAAGTAAGTATAATATGATAACGTAACTGTTACTTTCGCCAGATGCAATTGATGGAACGTGAGACATGCTTGCTGGTTTAAGGTGGGATATTTTGTTTTCACCCTCTGAAGAACTCTTCGAGAAATCCTAACAGCCGTTTCATAGTTTGTGTTCATACATGTGTTTAGCAATATGTTTTCTTAAGCAAATTGTATGATTGGCATATTAATGTAGCTAGCTTATAGTTATTAGGTTACACATAAACCGTCGTAGTTTTTCCTTGTATATAAATTTTATGTTCATTTGTCTTTGGCTCTTTGCTTTATTTAGGGTTTCTACAGAAGCATGTTACTAATTGAGCCGTTGTTTTATTTGTTATAGAGCTTGGTCTATCGGTTCCAAGGTGACTTACTAGAAGAAAGATTGAAGAAAGCTTTTTAGGTTTGTAATGATGGATTTGTAATCGTTTTGTTACGTTGTTGCCCAGAAAGTGGGTATACTTGCTGTAATTCTTTCAGGCTTAGAAAGTGATTTGTTCTGATGAATAAAAAAATAGTAGCCTTAATTGATATAGTAATTTATTCATACACATAAGTAATATGATTTACCTTATGCAAATGTACATTTACCACTATTATACTTCGTATAAACGCGGGTGCCTATTAAACTGAATTCTCCAGTTTTTAGAAGTTCATCGAGAAATCACAAATAATTATAATCTTGTAAGAATCGTAATAAGTTGCAAAGGGACGAAAGTGGCTTAAGTGCTGGATCAAATATAGTGTTCTAGCTGGTTATGCAGTGCTGAATTTATAGAGGAAGGTTGTATTTCTGCAGGAATTTTAAACTATAATCTAACATATATGGTCGGAGATTTGGCTCTAAAAAAGGGAAAATCTTTTTCTTCTAATCTCTCAAAAACCTCTTGAATTGTCAATTCTAGAATCCAGAGCGTTTTTAAGTATTTGGATTCAAACAATTGATATAATCTAAGAAAAGCCTCTTCTACTCTAGCATTTTTGAAGTTTCTAAATTCTGAAGAATTAACCTCTCATCCTTCAGTTATACGAAATTTAGGGGGTGCACTGGAAGTTTCAAGAAAATTTTGATTTTTTGAAATTTCTGAAAACAAATTTCCAGAAATTTGAGGGGTTACAGGAATTTTTAAAAAACATCAGATTTTTTGAAAAATCGGATACTTTATTTTATAGGATTTTTTTTTGTTTACACTACCGACAAAATTAAAAAAAAAAAAACCAAAATTTTTAAAACATTATCCAAGATTTGGTCTTTGTACACCCTTCAATTTATTCAGAGACATAATTTAGAGGGTGAAATGTTAAATGCTCTTAAAATCCTATAATCAAAACGCATAAACTTCAAATATTTTTACTCATTCATTGTAATTTGATCAATGAAATCCTAACTATTAGATGGATGTAGTAAATATCATCCAACAAACAATAAAAAATAAAAATATGAAACTAATTCGTGTTTTCTCAAATCGTTTATTTCTATTTTAAAAATATCGATTATTGAAGTTTTTTTTTTGAAGATAAATATGCATATTGAAGATTAAAAAAAACAAAAATAGAAGATAATATAAATACTATTGATCTTTCACCTAAAGATTAAAGATTGAAACTACTATAAGGATACTCTTTGTGTTTTGCTAAATAATTTTCCTTAATTTAAATTATGTTTAGATTTATGGGTTAAAACAAAGCAGAGTAAACAAAATAGTCTAGGGTTGGACAGACAAAGGTGAAATCGACCTAAACCACCAAATATATTATATCTGTAAGATTTTGGTTCGAGTGAGTCGGTTTATCAGGTTTTCGGTTCAATGAGTTATGGTTTTGCATGAGTTTAGGTGAGTTGGTTCGGATGGTTGATTTTGACCCTTAAAAAATCGAATCCGATCAGTTTAATCTGAATAATTATTCTAATTTTAATATTGGGCTGAAGCGCCCAAAACGAAAAATCAAAATCACTTTTCTTCAACACTTCACTTCACTCATTGTCTCATTCTTACATTAGGTATCTAGGGTTTCAGTCACTCATCTCTCCTCCTCAATTGACACCAACTCCGTTTCATTTTGTTGTCGTCACACCACTACCACACTGTCACCGTTCAGATCATGTAAGTTTCACTCTCCGATCATTGCTTTTCTTTTTCTTCTGCTTCCGTCTTGTCTCTCTCTGAAATAATTGTTCTACTTCTTTGATGTTCTTCTTCCGATCATTGTTTCATCATTGTTGTTGTTGTTCTGTCATTTAACAATGGTTTGATAAAAAAAAATGAAATCTTTGACTTTTAAAGAAAAATCTTTGTTATAGACAATTTTTTAGTCTTCAATCGAACTTCTTCTTCTTCTCTGCTTCTTCTTCTTTTTCTTTGGCATATTAACTATTGGACTAGTTTTCGATTTATTAATTATTAATCATTATGGGTGTGTTTTAAAATGACAAGAGCATATGCATGAAAAGTTTGTATTTTAAATTTGAAAATAGACAACACTGTATGAAGTGTTGCAGTAGACAGTTGCATTTTAAATTTAGAAATATGCAATATTTCGTGAAGTGTTACAAAATGCGAAATGTTATAACATTTGAAAACTGTTGCTATAGGAGAAATAATGTAACGTTTAAAAAATGTTGTTGCAGGCGAAACAGTGCAAAAGTGTTACAAAAAATGCGTGTTTCATCCATGATCGCACGCATATGAAACAACACCAAATTTGATTTATAAATTGAGCATTATGGATTTACAAAAACATATTAAAAAATGGCCTATCCTCTTCACTAAAATTTCAAACATTCTTCGTTACATTCGAGTTTTCGTCAGTGTTGCACAAACTCAATAAAAGGTTGAATTATTCTGTGTATTCATGCGTTCCAACTCTAAAATATATTTAAGAGTGCTTGAAATACTTATAAGAAAAGTAGTTTTGTTCATGATTCTAGCAACAATTCTTTGATTATAATCAATTTTCTAACAATCTTATAAGTATTACAAATAATAGTTATCGAGGTTTTACTTTCAAGCACCAAAAAGAGAAACTCAAAGCATAGCACAAGACGAATTGACATCATGAATTCAAATACATTACTATTATTGTTTTAAATTATAGCACCGTGAAAATCATAATATCAAGATTTTAAATTAAATTTTCTAACTATTGATATCTTAACCGAATTATTGAGACTATAATTTTTCGATAATGTTTAATTGATATGAAAATATTTTTTTTTAAATGCATTATCGTTGATAAATTTTGTAATCAATGTGATGTTAAAATATATATATATATATATATATATATATATATATATATATATATATATATATATATATATATATATAATTAGATTTTAAAATCTATTTAATTATTATTAGATTTGAATAGTTTTTTTATACGTGTTTAGAATATTATAATTTATTTCTTTATTAATTTTTTTTAAATAAGAATAATTAAATATGATTTTTTAAAATTTTAAAAGATAATGATAAAAGTAATTAAAATCTCGATTTAGAAATCAAATTTTAAATTTCTTTTTTTTTGAGGAATTATTTATAACGTTCTAAATACGTCTATAAGATAATCATTCAAAAATACACATTAATTTAACTTTAATAACTAAAACTATATACATAATAATTTTATAAATAATAAAACATTTCATATTTTTTATAGAGATTAAAAATAAAATTTAGTAATTTATTGAAATAAAAATATATTTAACCTATATATATATATATATATATATATATATATATATATATATATATATATATATATATATATATATATATATATATATAACTCTACTGTGTAATTAAATATTACCGCGTAGGTTTAACGTATTTCATATGGTATATGATATGACTACATAGTTTTAAAAGTAACCAAATTAAAATTATATTGGTTTATTATGGTTTATTTTCTTTCTTTACTTCACTGTAATATGATTTCTTATTTCTTATTTTACTTCACTGTAATATGATTTTTTATTTCTTTCTTTACTTCACTTCTAATATGATTTCTTATGGTTTTAAAAGATAAATAGTCTAAAGTTTTGCAAGAGAATTAAACTCAGATTGTTTCCCAAACTAGCTTACAACATTATATATTATATAATGATTGCAATTTCTCCAAATTCTTCTTCATCAAACCCACGTCTTCAACTTTTATATCCAGAATTTTCTCGAACTCTCAAAACCTTAACGCAATGGAAATCATAATGCTCACACAAATACAAACAACATTGAATCAG